ATTACGTGGATATGTGGAAGTATATATATGCTACATACTTCATATGCCCTGTTCTCCACGTGGGCGTTGTCAGTTATGAACTCATGTTGCTCGTATTCTGGTGAGCTTACTGCTGACCTCCGCTTGTTGCTGAGGTGTGTTGGTTGGATCATTGTGGCACACTGCTTGGTCTAATTTTAAGTGAATCACTGGTCTGTAACATCTGTGAGAAGTGTATACGAACACTACTATTCTAATATAGTAGTTGTGTGTGTATGAACCATTTTTTACTTTCTCACTGATAGAAATAAATACACAGACACTGTTTAACTGCCGTACATGTCTGACAGTGTATAGTGAATACATTTTGAGAAACTATCTCATTTTCATATTTTCTTCATCTTACTTTCAGGTTTATTCATATATCAGCAGCGCCAGATATTGATAACACCACCGTGATAAAAATACACAGCACCCACATTCATAAAACTCAATACCGGTTGGCGGTCACTAGCCGTTGCTAGTTGGTTTTACTCCTGACATACCTATTCAACTCTAGATAATGCCGAAGTTAAAAGTGACGTCACTCGATAAGAGATGACGTCTTGGGATTGGCGGATGAGTTTATTTGGAGTACTTTCATATTCGATCACCTTCTACTTTTGTTTTGGTTTTCCGTTTTTGGTAAAAAAACCCCCTAAAACCCCCCCAAAAAAACCAGAAGACAACAACACTTCTTACGTTGGTATCAGATTGAGATTGAGATACTAAATATTGTCAATTTATCATCTCGAGTATTGAAGTGGCACTACTGTAAACGTTTGTAGAAATGAAACGTTTAGTGTGTAGCGTTCATAGTCGAAACATGCTATCTATTGGGATTCTGGGAATGCTGGGACCATTGTAGGACGCAAAACGTTAAACTTTACCGAGAAGTGAGCATACCAAAAAAAAACGTTTATTATACTACTTTTCGGATCAATAGAGTGTCAAGGAAATGTCAATCACCGACACTACTCACGACTGTACACGCCCGTGTTCTCACTATGATTTAGTTCAACCTGCCGGTATATATATATAAATATCTCGTGTCAAGAATCATGACTAGTACCACTAAATTACACCATGCCGCCCCGTAAACGCAAAACCAAAGCAGCAGTACAGGATGCTACTTCATCTAAGAAGTCAAGCGGACCAGATGAGTCTTATGGTAATGCATGGCTTTACTTTGCGTCTATGCTTGGCGTGGCTGTGTGCGCAATGGCGGCTACGGTAATGATCTCGTTGAATCAGCAGCACCATGTACTTGTGCCGTTCCAGGGAGAAACCATGCTCTCCCTTCCTCAGGTGTGTGTGAATTTGTGAACTAATTTGTAGGTCTGGGTGAAATTTGTGCCAAGTGTACTCATATTATTCCAAATAAGCATTAAAGTAACCGAAATTATATATATATATATATATATGTGCTCATATACATAGATACACACACTCACACACACACACACACACACACCACACACACACACACACACACACACATATATA